CAAACGCAATCAAAACATGACGCACACAAGGCACCTCTCAGCGAAGGCGGCTGAGGTGGGGCGGGGGCGTGGCAACTGACAGGGGCACGTATGTAGAATTAGTTTACGAATTGCTGCAGGATACGTGGCGCAACATTTTACAGCAAACAATTTCCCAATGCGACGTTTCCCCGCCGCCCTCTGCCCCATCAAAAAGACGCTGTCAGTTGCACTGTGGAGCGAATGGACAAAAGCGGCGCTCAAAAAGCGCCGCCGGCTATTTGATATACATGTGCACATATGGACTCTTGAGAAGGGTTGCTCAACAATTCAATAACCTTCAACTCGAATTGAAGCTTAAACTGTCTCTCCAAATTTACTTTAAAATTACACTTATAAATGTATCGAGTTGCCTAATGTGGCACAGTGGGCGCCGAATATAGACCTACATGCGATGTCTGCAGAGAACAAAACATAATGATATTTTGGTGGGATTTATAGCAGAATCTTTTATTTAGTAAGATAAGGAAATATTTCCTTTGAGGAAATCGAATTATTTATATCAACACTAATATTCATATTCTATTAACTCTAAAAAAAATCAATCTAAAATCCTTATCTGTAAGGGATCATTTGAGAACAGATTTTTATTCTATTGAAATAAAAAATACTAAATAAAATAGTAAAATATACTTCATTTCAAAACAAAAATTTTCCTTTTATAATAAGATTTCTGAATTTTTCAAGAAAATAAAATATATATATTTTATTTTTATATATTCTCAAATTAATTTGATTTTTTAAGATTAATTTAAATTTTTTGTATTTTTATATGCTTTAGAAAATGTTGAATAAAATTTTTTTTATATAAAAAAAATCCATATTATTATATTGTATATTGTAAATGCTATTATCGATAAATCTCAAGACATTTTTTTTGTTAAGTAAAAATCTTGCCGAAATAATAATTGATTGCTCAGCTCTTACACAATTGTAACTGATTAGCCAATAATTAATTTATTTTTAATTTCGAAAAAGTTGTTGAGAAATTTCTAAGTGTACGATTTTTCTATATATATACATTTCTTTATATTTCAAGCCCTTCCATAAATCAAACTAACCATATAATTGCCCCACTGTAGCCAGCCGGTAGAACTAGGCATAGACATAAGCAGAGGAATAGGTGTAGGCATAGGCATCGACATAGACATAGTCATAGTCATAGACGTAGATAGAGCTCCAAAAAAGCTTGTTGTCTGGCAGCTGGGGGAATTGGAATTGGCTTGGTTTTGGCTTTCGACTTGATGTGCGGGGCTCGAGCCTTGAAGAGCTGCTCTGCGAGGGCCCAGCAGGAGTAGAGGGCGCAGAAGGTGGCAGCGGGGGTGAAGGGCTTGTTGTGGAACAATTTGTAGCACATGTAGCGCGGCGTTTGGCAACAAACGATGCAACCTGAAAGGCTGCCACAAATTTTTTGGAAGCTCTATTAAGCGTTGCCAACCGTATCCAAAAAACAGCCAGCCAGCCAGCCCCCCGCCACCAACCCTTCCACACGCTTAAAAGAAAACTTTAGTATGCGAATGTGAATGTGTTTATGTGTGCGTGGATTTTTGAAATGAATATGCATGGGCGTGGGCGTGGGTGTGGGCGTAGGCGAGAGCGTCGTCTGAGGTGTGGCAAGGGCAAGAGAGCAGCGCACGGGCCGGAAAAACTCTTGGCAAAAGTAAATTTAAAAGTTTTTCACTGCTCCTGCTCCTTGCCTATCAGCTTCGTCTACCTCCTCCTCCTTCTCCTCCTCGTCTCCGTCTTCATCTTCGTGTCCGCCTCAAAGATATGAGTAGCGCGCACTTTTGGACAAGTTTTCTAGTTTTTCGGGCACGTGAAGCACGTGAATGGCAAGAGATTCGCTCGCAATACCAGAAAATGTGCGATAATTCACATAAGCAGTCTTATCATGTGTGTGTGTGCCGAGCATGTGTGTGTCTGTGTGTGTGTGGGTTTCCTGCGGAAAGGAAAGGCACCTCCCAAGCATTTAGGCATGCAAAGTTTTCACTAGCGCACGTTCCACTCGAAAGCAATTAGCACACCCAACGAGAAAAGTTCGTCTACCTGGGTAAATCTCTTAAGACGGTCTCCCTGGAGATGCATAAGCATATATCATCAAAGGGAGCATTGGGTAAGAGTCTAATCTGTAGGCTAACGAGCGAACTCTAAGAGTTGGAAATTCATGAAAGACTGTAAAGCACATTTTAGGGTTATCAATGGGATTAGACGGCGCTAGAATGGGATCAAGCATATAATTATTTTAGTATAGAGAATATTAAATTAATATGATTATTGATGATTCAAAAGATTTACTAAAATATTATTTAAATAGAAATAAAAGTACTGTATTTAAATCAAATATCTTACAAAAAAAATATATATATTTACGTAATTTAGAATTATTTTAAAGAATTATATCTAATGACTATTATTATAAGTAAGTATTATCCTAATAGTACTTATATTGTATTATAAATGTTTAACAGTCACACAATATTATTATAATTCATTATAATAATTTCTGAAATTTTAATAATTCATTTCTCATATCTAACATAATATCTCATATCTAATATTTAACATCTAACATATCTAATATCTAATATATAATATCTAAAATCCAATATCTTGTATCTAATATCTAATATCTTGTATCTAATATCTGCCCTCAACTTGGAGTCCACGTTGCAGGTGTTTGATATATCAGCCATTATTATATACTCCATCAATGCTCAAAGTCAACTCACTGAACTCCCTACTTCACAATAAACTCCATTAGAAATTTATCCGCATCAAATCTCCTGGCATCCTCAAAAATCTCAGCACAATCCTAATTCGTTCCATTTTGCTTCACATCCTTATGAACTGTAGCATTTACTAACATTTTCTCATGCACGCATCCAAAAACCATTTAAATAACGCTCCATCATCTCACACACACAGACACACACACACACATCGCATACTCTTACTCATTCGAGAGAAACTTTTACACGGCAGCCGACGCTCTAGGCAATACGCCCCCTTCTCCGCCTCCCCCTTAGACACGCCCACTCTTTGGCTGTAGCTCCTGCCACTGGGCTGCTGTAGTGTTTCGTGGACCTCGCGACGCTTTGCCACGCCCACTTTTATGTAGGGGCTGGGACGTTGATAAATGCACCGAGCATAAAAGTTGGAGCAAACTACTTTTGGGTTTTTAGGCAAATTTTCGCATAGAACTAAAAACGCTGCCAACTACTTTCCACTTACCTGGCACTATGCCACGCCCACCAGGCAGCAGCAAGGCGAACGGCTCCAAATCGCTACAGCCATTAGAGGCTGACGGAAAAAGCGGCGCTAAATGCGTTGTGAATTATTTAAGGCACGTGTGTTGCGCAGAATGCGGCAAATTCGACAGTGAAATGCATTTATTATTGAAGATGCGAGTGGAGCAGCCACACAGCCACACAGGCCCCACGCCCCCACCTAGCCCCCTTTCGCCAGTGGTAGGCAGTCCTTTGGCTGACAAGCCAACCAATTATGTGCGCCTGATGAGTGCCCCAATGGAGAGCAGTCGACGTAGATCGAGGTTTATATTTTGATAAACGCTTTAGAGTTTGAAAACTTTTGCTGCCGCTGCCGTTGCGCTGCTGCTGCTGCTGCTGTGTGGCACGTGATTGGAATTACGCGTGGCGCTTGCCACACACACACACGCACGCAAATGCCCCACACACTCAGCAAGCCTCAAAAACCTCAAGCTCGCCTTCAATCTCAACCCCCTCTCCCTTTCCACAGCATAAGTGGAAATTTTACACGACTTTTCTGTGACAGGTGAGCTCTGAAATGTGGCAGGTGTGAGGCGAGGCGGCGAGGCGGCCATGCGGCCATGCGGCGTGTGCGAGCTAAAAGATGTTTCTGATTTTGTGGCAATTGACAAATGTTGCACACATTGTGCCAAATTAGCATATATATAAATATATGCACATACATACATATATATAAATTCATACATGAGCAGACTTTCCTTGAAATGTCTTAGGGAAAGATATTCAAGTGACAGATACAGATACATATATATCTGAGAATACACGCATATCCCTGTTACATATCAAAGATATCCTTTTTGGTAATTCACAGATGGAAATATACACATGAAATATCTCCACAAGTCCTGAAATGTTGCGAAATATATGAATCTAAAATTATATAAATATAACAAATAAATATAATTTTTATAGAAAGCTAATGCGCAATAGATTTAAGAAAAATATAAAAACTTAAATAAGTAACTCGATGTCAAAGAAAAAATGCATAGCAAATTATTAAAAATTAATATTCTAATTCTGCAATTAATATTTTATTTTATGAGCAAATTTTCCGAACTGAAGACGGGCTTAAATGATTAAAATTAAGATTTTATATCAATATTAAGTGACTTTAATTATTAATAATAGATTTCCGGTATTTTACTCACTTACACAGTAATGAGTAGATTGGCATTGCTCAATATTCGCCCATCCTGCCCGACTGTCCTAGACTATATAATCGGGTACCGTCATCTGTTTTCGTCTGTCAAGAATCTCCCGAGCAGTAGAGACTTTGAAAATACATTATCTGGTATCTTAGAAACGCAGTTATTTAAAGGCCTAAAGACTCGCAATATTTAGGAAACAAAAAATATATCGCCCATTGGAGGGCGTAGAGCACCGATCAAAACGGTCTTTTCTATATTGGATCATTACTGTTATATTGATAATAGCATAATGAATTCGTAAGGTTGTGGTATACCGTAAATACCCAATATTTTCAAGGGTTTACAAGAATTCGTTCCATGTTTCAAATTGACTAAATGGGGAGAAACAATCTAGATAATATACATATTTGTAGTCTCGTTTATATAATCCCAGTCACAAATGCGAGAGCTTCACTTAAGATAAATATAATAAATACACATACATACATTTCTTCACACATGGAACATCCTTCTCTCTCTCTCCCCCTTTTGTTTCATGTGATGTTTTTATTTGATTGAAAAGTGAAAAATTGGAAATACAAATTGGATTGTAATGCTGTTAGTTTTACATCTGACGATATATACTCGTATTATATATGTTGTATATTATAACATGTCTCTCTCTCTCTCTCACTCACTCACTCGCTATTTCCCACTCTCTCTGTCTCTGTGTTACTACTGCTGCTGCTCTCAGTCTTGCTTTAGTTGGCCGCCGGTTCACCATTGCCCTGCACATGGAGAATCATCTCGAAGGGATCCCACTCCAGATCCGATTCGTGCTTGACACGTCGTCGTCCCGCCCCGGGCGCCTGGTGATGTAGATGAAGATGATTGTTGTTGTGATGATGATGAAGCAGATGCTGCGAATGCATTAGATGGGCGCCATGCTGCGCCAGTTGCTGCTGCACCTGACCGATGGGCAAGTCCTGCGAGTGCTCGGCCAGCCCGGGCGGCCGGTAGAGCTGCAGGGGATGCGCCTGCGGCTGGACGTGGCCAATGGCCAGGGAGTGGGGCTGCTGCTGCTGTTGTTGTTGTTGTTGCTGGTGCTGGTGCTGCTGCTGCTCGCTGACCATCTCCTGAATGTGCTCGCGCGTCTGCTCCCGCTCGTCCACCTTCCGGAGCAGCATCTCCCGCATAAAGGACATGCGCTCGAAGTGCTCCCAATTCGACCGGAAGCCCTGCTGCGCATACTGGGCGTGCCGCTCCTTCTGCAGCTCGTCCACGTAGCGCTGCTTGATGATCGACCAGCGCGTCTGCATGAGTGCTGCAAGGCGACAATAATCTGTAGTAACTCGCAACGGCTCATAGCTATGTGAGTACATATATATATATATATATGTATATATATGAAGTATATGAGATGTATGTTTATTCGATTTTTACTATTTTTTACTGTTCACAAGTTTATTCTTATATGTTTGTGGATATGTAAAATTATTAGGAATGATATTCAAAGACTTTATATTCGCCTCCCTAGACTAGAGCACGAACAGAGACTCTGCACTAAGAAGGCTTTGCATATATGTAATTTCGAAGAGTTTTCTGTAATTTACCAAAGGTTTCATATACGTATATTCGAAATTATCATTCACCGAAATTCCTATTGAATAAGCCTTCTTCTCTTTCTCTAATTAACTCTTTACTTCAAAGGTAATTTCATTGCTTGTAATATCATTGTCAAACTCATTCATTTGAGACTAAGTATACATTTTTTAAACCTATTTTATACCCTTCATTGGGGAACTTCTTTTAAAATGCATCACAAATATTTATAGCAAGTTTTTACTGAAAAGTACGATTTATGTAAATGAATAATATTCAAATGAACTAAGTTTCTAGTTCCACTCAATCAATGCATATCTTGCCTTTGAGCATGTAATCTAATATACTCCACTTAGAAATCTGACTGCATTGCAATTAGAGTCTTCATTGTCTTTAAAGTCTGATCAATCGAAGTCTACTCCCATTTTGGTCAATCCAATTTTTTGTAATCAATCTAACTAACTAAGTTAACTGTAATATATTGAAGTAAATTCGTAAGCTTTTAAACTTTTAAGCAACATCATAACATTTAAATTCAAAAATCGAAAGCTTACACGATCCTATTCATATAGAATGATCTGATCAATATAAACATTTTATAAATTTAAACCCTTAACTAAACAAATTTATCTACATTGCAAATAATTCTGCTTCATGTCAACATCATGGTAAATAATAATGCAGTGGGTACTTACTTGGTGTTAGACCCATCTCGTTGGCCGCCTCCTTCCAGACGGCGGAGGTGCGGCTCTGGCCCTGTCCCTTTTCGCTGCGCTGGCGCCCCGCCCACAGGGAAGGGCGCGCCTTAATGGCATCGATGATGCGGCCGCGCATGCTGTTGTGCAACGAACTGGGCCGGCCCAGTTTGCGCATGGGCGTGGTCGTTGCCTCCACGGTGACAGCAGCCGGCGGCACAAGTCCTGTGAAGGCGGTGTAGGTCATGCCATGCGCTGCCGGCTGCTCAATGAGATGAGGCAGCTCCGGCGAGGCGGAGATGCCAGCTGGGGGGGCAGCGGGTTGTGGTGCAATTGCTGGCGGCGCTGCGACTGTGGGCTGCAGCCAGCTGAAGCTGCCGCTGGGACGCCCGCGTCCATGCGTAGCACTCGGCAAGGGGGGCGGTGGCAGTACGGGCGGGGAGCCGCCCACCTGGTGAGCGGCCTCGTTGGGTGAGCTCGCCTCAGAGTTGCTCGAGTTGGCCTGAGCGCCCACAATCTTAGCCACCGTTATGTTGTACATAAAAGACATGGGCTCGAAGTGCTCCCACTTGGTGTTAAAGCGCTCCTTGTGCAGGATCTGGCGATGCACCAGATTGTGGTAGTGATACTTCATTTGACTCCAAATCGACTGCAGTTTGACTAGATGGGCGAGAGGAGAGAAGACAACGATTAGTCTATGATCGATGGCGAATTATAAGACTGATTAGTATTTATGAGAATCGCCTAGAGAGGTAGTGTTAAAAGAGGTACTGCGGCAGATGAGCTCGTTAAAGAGATCAGTTACTACAGTCTATGACTTTTTGGTACACACAACTTATGTAGAATACATAACGATGTATACAAATATGAAAATGTAAAATATAGAATAGAATATATATTGACATATATAAAAGTCTGTACTTTAGCTATAATCTTTGTAGATACAATGTTGTCAGCTACTACAGTTATTGACAGGAAATTACATACATACATACATATAAAGAATATATGCGGTATATAGAAATATAGAATACAGAAAAGCTTTATTCACATATATAATGTGTAGATAATATGTAGAAACAATCTATAGTACAGTTTATGACATAAGCATATACAATTTAGAATATATACAATATATAGAAAATATAGAAATTCTATATTGGCCTATACAAATCCTTAGTTTACTTTTACCTATGATACACATCTCAATTTCTATCCCATTAAATAAAGACCTGTAAATTGATCACTTACTACTCTTTCTTCCACGCTCTACAAATTAGTTAATGTACCCCAAATACGTGCATACATACATACATATGTAATTACGCTATCAGTCCCTTTTCCAATTGGGCATTTTACAACCTATGACAAACAGTGCATGCATCTATTAATAGCTCATACATACAGCAGAAGAGAAAGGCCAGAGAGCGAGAGCGCAAGAGAGGGTGAGAGAGAAAGAAAAGAGCGCAGCAGCGAAACGCAAAACAAAAACAAATTGAAGCCGGCTGCCAGGCTAAGCTTCGAGCCCAGTAGAAACTTTGCTAATGTTTTTGTTTGTGCTTGTAAGTACACGCAGGCATAAAGATAAACACACAAACACATGCACACATACATATACAGTATAGCTATCTCAGTCGCACTCACCTGTAGGCACATGACCGCCAAACTGTTCGGCGATCTCGTTCCACATGGGCGATGTGACGCTGCGGCACAAGTGGAGCTTGTTGTTGGAGTCCCAAATTTCTGGATACTTCTTGATGGCCTTCAGCAGCTGAGCGCGATTCACGAACGGATCCTCCTTGGGCATGGCGACAGGATATGCTTCTACAGCTGGAGAGGCGATAAAGGCAAAGGCAAAGGCGATGGCGAAGGCGAAGGCGGTGACGGCGTCGGCGGCGTTGGCGTTGGCGGCGACAACAGCGGACGCGGAGCACAACTGCGTCCTTTGACATCAATTATCGGCGAATAACTGAAAGTAGAGTTTGCAAAATATGCGAATTGAAAATGAAAAGGCAAAGCGATTGAGGAAAATAGAGAAAACGATGACGACGTCGGGGCAACGACGACGCCAGCGACAGCAGCAGCAGCGACGACGACGACGGCGGCGGCGGCGGCGATTGTTGCTGTAGTTGTTGCCTTTGTTGTTGGGGCGCAGCGATGCCGAGAGATTGAAAAGCAATGTGGCAGAGGCAAAAGCAGCGCAAAAACGGCGAAAGCGCACACGAGATGAGATACACAAAATGCAAGCGAAAAGAGAGAACAGACAGAATGTGCAAAAAAAAAAAAAAAAAAACAACAAAAAAGCAGCAGCAACAGTTCGGCAATAGCAACGACAACGATGTACACCGTCTGTAAGTGTGTGTGCGTGTGTGTGTGTATACGTAGGTGCTGCCGATAGAGGTAACTGTAGAGGTCGGGGGCGGGGGAGATTGGTGTGCTGTGGCACAGCCATACATAAGACGACGCGACGACCAAAGCGCACACAACAAAACAGACAAAGGCAACGAAGACCAAAGAGACAAAGCAACAACAACAACAACAACAGCGAACCTTATGGCAGAGACGGAGCTGCAAAAAAAAAGTAAATACAAAAACAACAGCAGCAAAGTGAACGAAAAGAAAATAGCAGACAAAAAAAAGAAAGGCAACGATAAACAACGGCGACGCCGAAGTCGACGCCAGCGTTTGGGGCTCACTTGCATGGCCGGTGTAGAAGTGTGTGTGTGTGTGTCTTGTTGGGTTTGCCACAGACTCGTCGCGCAGTTGAAGGTGGCCACGGCACGGCACGGCTTCGACATCGACATCGGCATCGGCTTGAAGTCGGGCCGCATTAGAAGAAGCAAAGGCAAAGCTCGTGCTGCGCTCTCAACGCGAATGCGAAACAAAAGAGCAGCGCAAACGGCGTCGAGTGCTGAGCAAAATGCAGGCAGGCACACGCAAACAGAGCAAAATGCACGATGACCGATGCGACAGAAGCAGCAAACAGCGACAGCAGCAGCAACAACAACAGCAACAGCGACGCTAAAGCACAGGCCGTAGACGCAGACGCAGCTAAGCAGAGCCGCCCGGCCAGTCGGCTGTCTAAACAGCAACAACTACTATGTACCTAACTGCACATGTATACGCATACACACACACACGCGCACGCACACTCACACAAATAAACGTCTAGTTACTGACGAATGGTCGGTCCGACGTTCGGGCGATCTGTCGACCAGTTGGTCGCTTTTGGGGGCTACGTGCAATGAACCCATTTCGCAGCAACTACACAACTACAACTAAAACTGCAACTGCACACAATTAACACACACACGTACACGCACACTGGCGAGTTGAGTTGCGTTTGTGTTGGTGCATAGCGCACCCACAGCGTTCGTTTTTGCCAACGCACAGGCAACAACAACAAAAGCTAGGCGAGAAATCGTCCCAAAAGCTTGAGCATTTCATGAAGGTGCCTCACTGTAAAAGTAGGGTGCGTCAATAGAGTTGTGTAAGAACAAATTGCAGAATGTTTGTACTTGTTTAATAAATAATAGCTATATATTTATTTATTATAAGAAATCCAGTATTGTTGGCCATTATTTAAATTGTATTTTATATAAACTATGCATGTATTGTGATTTAATATAATATATTATATATGAAATTTTAGCTCATTTATGGAATGTTATATGTATATAAACTTAGTTTCATAGTTTATATTTATATCATATTTTCTTTATTTATATCAATTAAAAAACTGAAATATTTTTGTATTACATTAATATTATGCTACGCACCTGATTAGTCAAAGTCCATCTTTAATTATTTAATTTGAGTACATAAAAACTTAATGGGGTCACATCTATTTCCTACTTGGCATTTGGACTCTCTCCCACACAAGCTGTTAAAATGGACATCAAATAGATCTAATGAAAGACTTCCTTTCAATCTTTCAGAATACGTGATTGGTTGCTGCTAAGAATAATTTAGACATGAATTGGGTTTTAGCTGTGTCCGGGCCCCGGTCACATCTGAGATCGGGGCAGGCTTATCATAAGAACAGCGCAGCGCACAGCATTTTCATCAATTATTCAAGGCCATGACACTGGACCAACTGATTCCGCTTCGAATGAAATGCTAACGATAATGTTCCATTCAATTCCATGCCGTTCCACTGCTTCCCCTCCTCCCCTTCTGCATTTCTAATGCTGTTGTTAATGCTTTTAATGTTTGTCGTTTTATTGGCTACTGTCTGTGACTCGGCTATCTGCGAGAGATACATCACTGGGGATGTGGGGGTGCGGGAGCAGGGGGTATCTGCGAGATACATGTGTGCGCACACGCACTTATCTGGAAGCGGTGTCTTTAATTTTTATGACTGCATAAATGGTCCTGAGCGGCTCCCAGAGCTCAGCGTAATTTGCTAGATTAGAATTAATTTCGAGGCGCAGGCAGATACTCATAGAGCCGCCCAAAAAAAAAAAAAGAACTTTCGATGGGGGCAGTAAAAAAACGACACGTAATGTTTATGCGACTGGACACGAGGCGGAGCGCAGAGAAGCGCGGAGGCGTGGCAGTCAGTTAGATAGACAGACAGGCGGGCTGGCTGGCTGGTTGGCTGGCACACAGGCTCCACATCAATTGTCGTTCTGAAGATGGGCTTGAAACTGGGCAGGGAGTGGGAGCTGGGATATGGGATATGGAAGCTCTATCTGCTTTGGTATCTTCTGTAGTTGGGGGATTCTTTCCACTCTTTGCTGTTTTTCTGTTTTATTTTCATTTATGCTTTTTAAGTGCTTCATTAAAATCGCGTATGGCCACGGCTCGGGGTCGCTGTCGGGGTCTGTGCCTGCCTGATGCCTGCCATCTGTGGCTGGGGCTGTTGCTGGGGCTGGGGCGGACAGACCTTTGTCAGCGTCATCAAGCACGGCACACACAAAAAAAAAAAAAAAAATAATACGAAAAAGTATCTTTCAGATACATGTCCAAAACGCAAAGAAAGCAAAGCATAAAAAACGCACGACAGAATTACAAAAAGCAAAAAAGCAAAAAAATAAACATAAATAAACAAGTAGAAGCAGCGGCCCATGCCAAGGTAAACGCCTAAAAGATACCACGTAAATAAGATTCCTAAATAGATAAAGGTAAATATATAAATACAATTTTGGAATTTATTGCAAATTTTTGCAGGCCTTTACCCAGAGTCGGAGTCGGAGTTGGAGTTGGAGTTGGAGCTTAGCCAAACATGGAGTTGTTTCTAATAAATAATATATTTGTGCCACGGCGCGCATACCCTTCCAATTGCCCGTCTATTCCCCTGGGCCTACAGGGTATAAAAAGCTACAAGAAATAAAAAGAATTATAACCAAACATGTTTTTCACTCAGCTCTGCGCTGCGCTGCGCTGCGCCGGTGTCAGGCCCCCAACTCCAGACGTAAAGTCGCAGCTCCAACTCCGGTTTTTCGACTATGTGTGTGTGTGTGCATGTGTGCGTGGCAATAAGTGTGCCCCGCTCATGCGACGGTGCAAAAAGTTAAGTATCTTGTTGTTGTTGCGTTTTTTTAAGGTGCGCGCATATAAAGAGGCCTTCTTAACGGCCAGACCCAGAGCCCAAGTTAGAGCCGTTTCCCTGCTTTCCCCCAACTCTCCCTCTTTAGGCCACTACGCGCGCTACGTTGAGTTGGAGGCAACGTCTAAAGATAACAGCAGCAACAACAATAATGGCTTGCAGCATCCAAAAGCCACTTGGACAGGCTCCTTTCCAGCCTCTACCATTGCCTCTACCTCTGTCTCTACCTCTGCCTCTGCCTGTATCTCTACCCCTGGCTCTACCTTTACCTTCCAAGTCAGCTTCAGCCTTAGCCTTAGCCTCAGCTGCAGCCTAAGCCTCAGTCTCAGCTTCATCTCCCACCTCATTCCCGATCTCCTCTCTATGCTCAAGCTCAGTCTCCTACTCCAACCTTAGCTTCATCGCAGCTTCAGTCTCAGGCCCATCTCCTGCAAGCAGCCGGAGCTTGTCCTCCTTCCGCCTCCTCCTTTCTCAGCTCTGCTTGAGGTTCAGCTTCAACAACAGCCGCAAGTTCATCCTCAGTCCCAACTCCAGCCCCAGCCTGATCCCCAGCATCATACCGTCCTCATGCTCCTCGTATGCCATGTGCAAATCACATACAGTAGCAAAAAATTTCGACAGTTATTTACGATTAGCACAAAAGATACGAGACATGACATGCGCTGAGATGCCGCGAAGATGCAGATGCAGATGCTGTTCCAAGCCCAACTTCAGCAAAGCGCAAGACAGTGGGGAGGGCGGTGTGGTAGAGGCGAGGCTCAACATGAAACCAGGTCTGTTACCCACTGGCTACTGTTGCCTGCCAGCCAAGCACAGCGGGCGACAAGGGTTCCCTCTTCAGCTCTCTACCGCTCCTTCTCCCACTGCACACTCCATTTGCAGCTCCATTTTCGGATCCAGATCCGAGCTGTGGCCAGACAGCGAGAGAGTTTTACTGTTTGTTTACCTTCGTTTCGCAGCTCTCGAGAACGGAGACAGAGCTTCATTTATGAGCTTCGTTTGATGATCAATTAAATGCTTCTGACACTCTTGAAAAAGCAATCGTGGGCTCTCTTTTTGGGCACAGATTAAACAAAGGCAGACGACTACTGGAGTATACTCTGTATTTTTGTAAAGAGGGTATATATATCCGAAAGTGTCTATGACAGGGAAAGTAGGTCTATCTAACGTTTTTATTGATCCTCCTCTCCCTCTATTTTATTTATTTGTATTTAGTAGAGCTTCTATGAATTTCACCTGATTTCTCTTGTCTCTCCCTTTTTACGCTCCCTCTGTCTCTAGTTCAATGAATCGCTATTGATCTGTCAGTAAGTCTCTCTCCCTCTTTCTGTCCGTTCCTGTCCTGCACATACATATATCTCATATATATCTTGCTTCGCCTTCCCCTTCTATTGCCCTCTCTCCCTACCTATATCAATCTCTTTTTCTCTCTCTTTCTCGCTTTCTCTCTCTAAAGTATTTTATTTCATTCTCTTATGGTGTTTTTCATATTTTTCCTTCGCTTTCTCTGCTAGAGTTTTTGTCTCCTCACCTTCAACATTCGTATACCCTGTAATC